CGGGCCGCCTTGGCAGAAATCCTTTGCTGGTGGCCAGACCTCCCCTCCCTGGACTTCCAGGGCGATGGGTGGTAGCTTGTGTGACGTGGCCGGTGCCTAGGAGGTAAGCTCCCGCCACTGTCCCCACCCCAGTGCCTGTGCTTGCTGGTGGCCAGGCATCTTAAGCAAGTCCGGGGTCCTTGCAAAGGCCTTGCGAACTTGCCAAAGACACCAGCCATGCTGCATAAACTCCTGCCATCATTCCCACCCCCCCGCACCTGTGCTTGCTGGTGGCCGGGCATCTTAGGCAAGTCCGGGATCCTTGCAAAGCCACAAAAGGTCACCGGACTTGCTTATAGTGCAGGGTCGCGGCAGGCCGCTCCAGCTCTGTGCTTAGTTGCACCTTACTCCTCGGAGTCAGCAGGCAGCAATAAAGAGCCAAGCAGGAAAAATGGTAAGTGGGCTTAGATAGGGCTCTTAGAGGTGGGCTGGGTGATTGGTGAGCCAGCCAATCAGTGAGCGGTGGGCAGGGCTAGTATAGTGCCAATGGGTGGGGGGAGCGAGCAAGTGAACGAGTGGCCTCCAGACGGGCAGGGCTGAGTGAGTGAGGGGTCAGGGCCGGTTCCACCGGTGCAACTGGTTCTAAATGGCTCGCTAGATTTGTGGAACCTGTTCTAGCGTACCGGTTAGAACCGGCAGGAACCCATGCCTGTTTCTATCTCAACTGCCCTAGAATTCAGATTCTGGTTAGTAGAATTCATTTTTCCTATGCCATGGAGGTGTTTAAAATTATAACAGAAGGCATAATTGGTGGGGATTGTTTTTCAATGAAAACTGGATTAGTGGTGTGTCTGTGTGTGTGTTTAATGTATCAACTAGTTACATAATCAACACCAACCAAATGATCCACTAGAAAAAGGTTTGGGAATTTCAGGGAAAGCTCATGAGAAGAATTCAATTCCACTTGCAAGAATCCTAGAATTTGTCCTAAAGCAGATATGTCAAACTCAATTTCATTGAGGGCTGCATCATGGTTGTGATGATGCAGGAGGGTGGAGTGGGCATGGCCAGCTCAACATCACTCATGTTGGTGGTGCCTGTGGTGCCTCGAGCACTGTGCCAGAGAAAACAATCTCCTGAGCTCTGTATAGGCTGCAACGGCAAAACCATTTTCCTGCAACCCTCTGCCAGGAAATACAGAGCTCAGGAGAGCTGCCCGCAGCCTTCATGTGNCAACATTTTCAGGTAATGTTCTTCACATTAAGCAAGACTATGTTTTTTTTATGAATAGATAGCAATCTAGGGCTTCAAGATGTAGAATACATGCTATTCCTACCAAAGTAGAAAGAACAGTGTCAGGGTTCCAAGTAATTGATCCATTGCAAGCAAAAACTCCAAGGCAGCTGGATTTCTTAAAGAATAGATATTGAAAATATCTCATTGGCACATATCTGGTAAAACCAACTCTTTAAATAAAATTAAACGTTTTTCCCTCAATCACAAACAATTGGTCACATGGCCCAATCATGGCAGTATCCACTGGTCTAGTGACATCACTCCTTCCTCCAGCCAGGTACGAGAACGTCCTTGGTTCCCAAGAGAAAGTATGTGATTTTGACTACACAACCCCAGCTATCTCAAATTCCCACCTCCCTATCCCATGATCCAGTGTGGCAGCATTGAAATTTACAAGATGGCTTCAGCAGAGATCAGCTTCAGGGTTGAAAGACAGGGCTGTTGAGAGTCCCTTGGACTGTAAGAAAATCAAATCAGTTCATCCTGAAGGAAATCAACTCCGACTGTTCCTTGGGAGGGCAGATACTGAAGCTGAAGCTCAAATACTTTGGCCACCAAATGAGAAGAGAGAGCTCATTAGAAAAGACTCTGATATCGGGCAAGATGAAAGGAAAAGGGAGAAGAGGATGGCAGAGGATGATTAGATAGTGTCATTGAATGAACACAATGAACATGAATTTGGGCAAACTCCAGTGGAGACAGTGGAGGAGAGCAGGATCATGGACTATCATCCATGGGGTCATGAAGAGTTGATCCCAACTTAGTGACTTAACAACCAGCAAACACACAGTGGGGAATGCAACTTGAATGGAATGACTTGGAATAGCTGCTTAGGAGACCAAAGGAAGCCTTTGGGGTGAAATTAATTAGGATCATGTCAACTTCCGATAGCAGTGCAAACAGGCAGAAGGTAATAATTAATTAATCAAGGTCACAAAGCTTAGGACCTTTCAAGGAAGCACAACTTGCACAGCAAAGAAAAGCAGTTTCGGAAGTGGTTGTTTCCTCTGCAATGGAGGAAAATCAGGAGTTAAATAATCAGACACAGGACATGCATGTGCATTCTGGACTTGGGATGAGAGATAAATTTAAGATTCTCCTACTCTACCATTAGCTTGCTGCTTAACAGTTTTGCAGACTGAGGAGGAAGAACTGGTTTTGGAGCTGTTGGAGAGACATCTAAACTTGTGTACCAGACTTCAATTGCCCATATTGCTAATTTTTAATTATCACTGCTACTTGTGTCCTTGTGCCATGTGCTTCTTAACTTGTGTTATGACTTCTAGTGTAAATGTGTTGAACTCTAACCCTCAAAGAGGGTGAAAATTTGGGTGTGTCTTATACACCGAATGTAGCCAAAAACACAAGGCATGGAGGAGGCGATGGTTTGTGGCAATCCCTGCAGCCTGGAACAGCTGATTGGGGGTATTCTGAGGCCGATTCACTCACCAATCAGCTGCTCATGCTGAATAAGGCTGCAATAATGTGCTGAAGCTGACCTGACTGTTCACTATTAGCTCCAAGGACGTGTCAGAATTTGCAGCAGCAATCACATTCAGAAAGCACACACAAGTCACTGATTCAGCAGGATTCAATAACTTCTCTTTATATATAATATAACACATTAAGTAAATACACAATACCAAAAGCAGGTTTTCCAACGTGGTAGTTCAGCAGAGAAGTTTTGCTTTCAGTTTTAGTTTCAGATATACAGCTTTAGTACAGAACAAGCCACGCCCAGGCTCCTTTCTGTCTCCTTCCTTCTTGCTCACACAGCAAATACTGTTGGTTTCCAAACAACCCTCAACTCTCTTACACACTGACAGGACCCTAGCTAGATGAATACTGTGGATCAGAAGTGGGTTCCTACCAGTTCGCACCTATTTGGTAGAACCGGTTCGTCAAATCTACCGAACCAGTTAGAAGAGGTTCCACCAGTGAACCCGGAAAGCAGGCCACACCTACAGAAGAGGTTCCNTCCTCACTGTTTTCTCGCCGTGGTTTTGTCGGTGCGCTTTTGACATGCGCGCATTTCATGGGTCACAAACATATATTTGTAAACATATATTTACTATGAAGCTATGTGTGGAATAGAATTACCTTTTTCCTAGCTATATCCTGCAATTAATCCATGTCATTCCCCCAGCTATCATATTAAACCCAGATACCATTTCCAAGTCTTAGATACTATAAAAAGATATGATAAACATGTTTTCCTCATCGTTTTTGATGCACCTGATGCCATGGAAGTTACAGCCCTCTTGAGATGGTAATTCCTGCCATTATCATAAAGTGCTGTGATTTATCTTCTATTCTGGAAAGACTGAGGACGCTTTTTGAGACTGTAGCCCTTTTGTAATGCAGACGCCCCTTCTACCTCTGAGGGATACACTAGGCCTTACACCCAGTCGCAGGACTGACAGAAACCCAATTTCAGTCTCTTTCTTTTATGCTTCATTGAAGACATCATTCAGAAGTCTGGAAAGCACTAAGTATGATGATGGGCACTAGACTGAGATAAAGGATTTGAGGTTAAGAGAAGGTACTACTTCATCCTTGCAGATGTCAAAGCGCTTCGTTTTTCAGCTATTCTTAGTTCTTCCACAAATTGAGGGGAAAGCTCTTCCTAACTCATGTAGCGTGAATTATTCTCTTCCTATTAAACATGAGTATTATCAGCCTGGAGACTTCATCATTGGTGCAATCTTTTCTCAGCTCTTCATGCCTGCCTTCAATCCATTATCCTTCACTGAGAATCCCCTGACAACGATTGAAGACCTGTATACGTAAGGAAACCAAATTTTTATTGTCCTCTCAAATAAAAAAAAAAGATTGAATGATCACCCTAAATAGATAAGAAAAACCAAGGAATGTGGAGTTATGCTTTTTAATGAAAAATGGAGTTCATCTTGTTCAGATAAACAAAGACATCAATGAATGAAGCCTTGCCTAAATGAAAAAAAATTGATTTTATTTCAAGGAAGGGAGGGAGGGAGGGAGGGGGAGGGAGAGAGGGAGGGAATAGATAAGATAATCAAAGAATAGGCTAGGAAGTGAGAGAAGGAAGGAGAGGAGAGGGGAAGGAAAAAGGGGAAGGGAAAGTTTTTCTTAAAAATTAGTACAAATATGTCAGAAAAACTCACTCTATATTTTGCCCTCAGTTTTGACCTTGGCATGTGGTGAGGAGCCGAGGTGGCGCAATGGTTAAATGCAGCACTGCAGGCTACTCCAGCTGACTGCAGTTCTACAGTTCGGCTGTTCAAATCTCACCGGCTCAGGGTTGACTCAGCCTTCCANCTGCTTTCCTCTAGATATTTTTTCCAAATTAGCCACTCAGGCATACCACAAATTGGGCACTATTGTCTCAATCCACAACATCAAGCTGCTAATACAATCAGATCAATTACCCTTTGTCTTCCGTTCAATAACATTGCTCCCCTTAAGGATTTCACTTCCTGGCCTTAATGATAAATCACAGTACGCTGGGAACTTTGATTATCCAAAATTGGAGGAAACTACTATTTAAATGGTAGAAAAAAGTATATGTAAGGCTGAGAGTCAATGCTTTAAAAAAAAAAGCACACAAATTTAAATTCATAACAAATGAAGATTATTGCAGGAGAAATTTTCTCACTATATTTATGTTTATAAGGAATGTTGTACAAAACATAGTGCATCGGCTTTGTCTAAACATTACTTAGGTGCAAATACACAAATATATTTAAAAAAACAAGGTGCATACTTTACAACATAACTTACAGTACTATAAATATAGTTTATATACATGTTAACATATTTTAAATCATGATCTTCATACATACATACATACATTTATATCTATATCTACATAAAGACTATTCAGTGCTTTAACTTTATTATGAATCTGCACTTTACACATCAATATTTGCATTGTTAACCCAATAGCAAATAAATTCCCAGTCCAGAGGCTTCAATAACCTTCCAGGTTCAGGCTACTCGTAGAGGGATTTCTCCTGGATTTGGATCAACACTCTTGGTGTTCCTTCAATGTTAAGACTTCCTCTTTCATTTAAACTGTTCAGAGGGTTCTAAAAGAGGGGCTGCAATGGAATGACAGCAGGGTGAGGGGACAGGAGGGATGGAAACAGAGTGTGCGGCAAAGGAGGAAAAGCCAAATGGCTTGAGTGGAGAATCGATGCTGGGATGACTGGCACTTGGTGTGGCCCAACCATGGCTGTGTGGCCTGTAGGGCATAGCCTCGGCCCGAGGGACAAATGAGGTAAAGGAACTCGCGAAAGAGCTGGGACCTGGGAAAGAAATTGTTGGTGAGGCTGAAGGACCTTAAACGTACTTGCTGTGGCGGCAGCGGCGGCAGCTGCCGCCGCCGCTGCATGCTGCTGAAGAACAGTGTGGTGGATCATGGTGACAGAAGTAGAACAGAGAGGCTGCTGTTGCAAGGGGAGGGGCGGGAGAGGAGCACCGGAAGGTTGGAGTCCAGCTGGAGGAAAGGTCAGCTTCATCTTACTCGCCAGCATGTTTTGCTGGATGATCTGGTGGTAGGCCTCCAGGTGCAGGTCCTTGAATTTGTCATGGTTTTCGTTGGGCAAGAGCAGAGCATGTTCAGGGAAGGTGAACGGAGCCAGGATCTGTTCTGTGGTTAAGAAAGCATGGCTGTTCATGTGAGTTTCCTTCAAGTGCAAAGGAGGCATACTGTTCAATATATCCGGGGCGTACCTCAGCCACTCGTTGGCCGATGGGTTTCGCTTCTCCTGTGGTGCAGCCTCAGCAACTTCATTAGGACACAGAAAGCCTTTAGGGGGAGATAGGTTTGGATTTCTTTCAAAGGTGGATGTTTTAAGGGGAGCCTGGATTTCAGGGGCATTCTCATTTTGCTGTTTTTGTCCTTCCGGCATATCCTTGGATTTCCCTGTTGCTGAAATGCTATGTTCAATCACAGGAGAAACAGAAAGTGTGGATTCTTCCAGGCAAGGAGTAGGCTCCGAGATGGAACAGCTTGAGTCTTGGATATTTTCTGATGAAACTAGATGGTCCGATGGTGAATCTGTTTGACTTCCGACTGGCTGCATTTTGTTTTCTATGCTTTTTGCATAATCTGTACTGGAATGGGAACTCGTTTGCTCTGGATTTTCTTCAGTTAAAGTATTGGGGGAATCCTCAAACTTCACAACTTCTGTTGGTGAACTAACCCCAATATTCTTTTCTGGTCTCCTCTCTATAAATATATCATGAATCCTGATTCTTTTTCTCCTCCGTTTCCGTTTCGGCTTACAAGCGACTTCTAGTTTGCTTAGCTGCCTGACATTCTCCTCTGAAAAACATGTTTGTGCTGCTGAACTTTCATCTGAAGAATAAGAGTGGGTATGGTATCTTCGCTTCCTGTGGGATCTTTCTGGTTCATCAATGACAGAATTGTAGGCTCTTTTTATGGGTTGTGACTGATTTGTGCATTTTTTATCCGGATAATGGCTTAAATGTTTATGGTCTGGGCTACTGCATTGTCTTGTGGTAGTCCAATTACAAAATGGTCTAGAATACACTGAATTGCAGCTTCCAGAATTAGATCCCGCTTTATTTGATTGTCTGTAAGAGATTGGTTTGCTCTTTGTCCATAAATGGTTAGAATTAATGCAACAGTTCCTATTGTCATTTGTGTTGCAAATTGTCTGGGGACTTTGATTCCTATGGACATGTGTAATTATAGATATAGTTCTAGGATAGTCATTGTCCTCCTTCTCAGGAATTTTGTCTGTTTCCTCTAATTGTTCCAAAACTGAATCTCCTAACTGACTTTCATGTATGCCTTGTTCCAAGGTACTGTGAAGCTTCTGATGTTTATCCATTTCAATAAAGTTATTTTGCTGGTCGGCTACTGGAGAAATTTTAGCAGTGAGCTCAGTCATGTCCTCATAATGGTGATAGCACTGCTTTCTCCTCCTTTTCCTTTTCCTATTCCTATAAAATCTTTTTTCATGTCTCCTTTTGTTCCAGCCTTTGCTTTCTTGTTCATCGGCAGACTTGAGAATGTTTTGAAGTGTTTCATTTTTCCCAGTTGACTGTGAAGGATCTAAGGGTAATTCATCTTGTTTTTTCTCAAGATTACAGCTCTCTGTTGAAGAAATTGGTGCCACAGCTGCACAAACACTATTCTCTGAAAGAGATTCATTTGGATGATTGCAGTCAGAATCCTGGCTAGACTCAACCTTCGGGGTTGAATTAGGAATATTTGGTGGCTGTTTATTTTTTTCCAGGGATTCACTTGATTTTGATGACCGGAAGTCAAAACATAAAGGGTTACAACTGTATGAAATAGATGGCTCTGTGTTTGTGTAAAGTAACATTTCACATGGCCACTGAAGGATGGTGTATCCATGCTTGTTAAGTACAGGAACAAATGGCTCACAAAGCCTTTTTGATGGGATTTGTTTATTAGGCATAGTTCTAATTTCCCCTTCAGAATTAGTTGGAATTGGTCCATCAGGTGTGCATTCTTTAATTTCAATTTCAGAAGTGACTGAATCATTGCTAATGTTTGAATCATTTTCTTCTTGGGTATTGTGCTGTGATAAATGTTCTTCATTCACAGGTAGAACTACACATTCATTTCCTGTGGATTCATTACTGTTGCCTTCCACAGGTAGGGTTTGGCTCACCAAAGCTCCTTTGGTTAGCATTTCATCAGGTAATGCTGCAGAATCTACCTCAGTGCCACAGCTGTCCGAATCAACAAATCCAGGCCCTTTTAAATGAGAAACAGGGTGTCTCAATTCTGGGAAATGCTGTATCCCATTCCCTTCAGTGGGTGGTCCATTTGAATCTTGTGCTGGAGTTGATTCTGTATCGTCAACATCATGTTTCTCCATCAGTGGAATAATGGAACTAGGTTTCTCATCAAAACACAAGGCTATGTCTTCTGCTGATGAGACTGGAAGATTCCCCGGCCCAGGAACAAACCGGCTTCTTCGACTAAGTCCATGTTCAGCTGATGTTTCATCATTATATTCATAGAAAGCAGCAGCTGATGATTCTAGTTTGATGGATGCTTTTTTGGGAAATGCAAAAGAAAACCCTACTTTATGCCCATGGAATCCCTGAACTTGATCTCCAAGTTTAATGTCTGGTCCACTGTTAGCCGGAGTTTCAGGAATCAGTGGTGCAACAGATGAAACATTGCTAGCAGTCTTCGAACTGTGCAGCAGGGCAAAGTTGAAGTCTTGTTCCTTTTTGGCAGAGTCAATGAGACCGCATTGAGGAATTTCATTAAAATTATCTCGGACCATAACCGTGGTGGATCTGAACATGGGACCACTTCCCGGAGCACTGAAACAAAACAAAACAAAACTTTTCTGTCAGTGCAAATCATACTGAATTCAAATGCATCAGAAATGCTCAACTAGCAATGCAGCAATAATGTTTTCTTTTGCAATGTAAAGGTTTTTAAAAAAAACAAAAGCCAACACAATCCTGACAATTTAGAGTCAAAAACTGTATTCATATATAGGTAATTCTTGATTTACAACCATTTGTTCAATGACTGTGTGAAAGGATGGTAGGGCTGAATAAAGATTGATTGCTAAAGTTATAGCTGTTGCAGCACCCCCATAGTGCCATAACTAAAAATCGGGTCCTTGGCAGCCTACTTGCACTTAGGACCAGAGGGGCATTTTAACACACTACCTATGTCCCCCTCAGGGGTGGGTTTCTCACCCCGTTCCAACTGGTTCGGTTGGAACGGGGCTGGCGGTGTTCTCGTGCATGCGCGTGGCGCACGCATGCATACTAGCGTCTCTGCGATGCTCCAGCTGCTCCTGGAGGATCGCGCAGGCGCTGTATGCATC